TAGAATTATTTTGATATCGGCCAGTACGATTATAATACCAAACAGCATTATTGTATTGTTGTTTGTAAGATATGAGTGTATTATACAAACTGGTCCAAGCAGCTAATAATAAACAAAGAACTATTTTTAAGTAACTAAAAAATAATTTACATTTTTATTTGTTATTTAAATGTATTATTTATATTGTTATAATTATTTTAATAATTTATATTATTATTTTAAAATTAAATATTTAAACTCGAGATATTAAAAAAAAATAAAAAAAAATTTAAATATGGCTGAATCTCAAAAAGAAAATGGTGAATTAAAACCTGATTACAAGATTCAAAAAGCACAATTGTCTGGTGAATTGAGACGTATACAACAATTATTAAAAGATAAAACCAACCAAAATACACAATTACAAAATAATTATAATGCACTTCTTGAAAAATTAACTAATTTAACACCTGAAATAAACGACGCTGTAAAAAAAGCAATAGAAAATTCACAACCTTTATTTGAAGATATTTTAAAAAAAGCATTAGAAAATTTAAATATAGCAAATGATATTAAAGATATTAAAAATGCTATAGATAAAATTGATAATGAAGATTTAAAAAAAATAATTAACGAAAAAACAGAATTAATAGAAAATAAAATTGAAAACATTAAAATTCCAGATTTACCTAAACCGCCTGATGTTAATTTATCAGAAATTTTAAAAGAAGCACGAGAAACACAATAAATAGAGAAGAAGGTTTAGCACAGCTACATAAAGAATTAAAGAGAATTAAAAAAATTCTTGACGAACAAAGAATAGAAATAAAAATTAAAACAGAAACGATAAACTTATTAACACAAAATACAATTGATTACGTAGAATTTAAAAAGCCAAAAATTTTTATTTATGTTAAAAACCCTATGTTCACGAGGTGTTGGCAATTTTTTTTTTTTTTTTATTATATTATATTAAAATATTTATACTGAGTAATTGATATTATTATTATTTTATTTATATTTATTATTTTAAATCATTATTTAGAAATTAATTTATACCGAGTGATTGATATTATTATTATTTTATTTATATTTATTATTTTAAATCATTATTTAGAAATTAATATGCGTTGTATT